AGAAGCCTCGAAGCAGATCTGCGGTCGCATATGCGACCGCATAATACTTCTGTGGTCCGCAAAATGGACCGCATAATGTCCCTCCGGAACTGGGCACTCCTGCCTCACTCTGTGACCGGTCTGCAGTCCGCAGACCTATTATGCAGTCGCATAATGCGCCGCAGAACTTCCCTCCGAAAATTTTTGTGTTGGATTTGCGACGAGTTGTGCGGCCCGCGAAATGATTATGCGGCCACATAATGGTCCAAAACTTTGCCCATATTTCTGCTTCAGTCTGCGACAGATCTGCGGTTCGCATATCAGTTTTGCGACCGCAGAAACGCCCTGCACTTTCAAAATTTTTCATCAACTCCCCAATCAACCCAAAAAGTCCGAACCGCGGTGAGCAAGCTCACCGCGAAGAATCTCTACAATCATCAACACATAGGTCTATCTCGGCACCACGAGACCCCGAATTTTAGGTAAAAATTTCACGGGGCCTTACAGAAAAGTGACTTAGCCACAACGTAACAAACCCTAAAATCTCTCTAAAATATAGATATTCACCTTAAATACAATTCTATTTATAACACTCCCCCTTGAATATCTATTCAACAGATAATGTGTCTCGTTAAAATCTTAACTAAAATAAAATCCAGTGGGAAAAAATTCTAGAGAAGTAAAAAGAGTACACATGTTTAGAAATACGCCTTTTAGTTGCCTCATTAAAAAACTTTGCAAGAAAAACCCAGTGAGACAAAACCTTGTAAGGAAAAAAAAGAGTACAACGCATATTAACTCCCCCTGATAAGAACACTAATTCAGATATTTGAGTCTTTGCATTCCAATCTTGTGCACCATCTTTAAAAGATCGTTAGTAGAGATTTGATAAGCAAATCACCCATATTAACTTGAATGAATATGTTGCACCTTGAAATCGAAATTCTTGATAGATATGTAATATCTTCATAAAATGTTGTGGAATGGCCTTTTCAATATCTCCATAGAGGTAAAATTCGCTATCATATTATCATGCTTATAGTTATAGCAAAATACATATGTGCACAATTACACTTAGGATGTGGTACTTCATGACCAAAAATTCTATATGCTTTAAGCAATTTAAATCCTTTAGGGATTGTCATATAAGTTAAGCCATATAAGCCATATGAATGGACTTTAGATGTATATCAAGTTTTTATGTCATGCTAGACATATAAGATAGATAAAAATGATTACACATACCATTGACTTTATACTTTCAAGTGTTTGAACTACATGTCCAAATCTACATGTCTTTCATATGAAACCAATTTTATTCGAACTTTGTCTCTTCCATTTGGCCGATATTTTGTGTCTTTATTCGACAGACTTAAGATCCTCATCTATACTTAGCGCTATCATAGATATCGCCGACTAACATTATATATCGGTTACAATATTTTTTCATAAAGACATAACATAGAGATCTCTTCTAAAACTCTAATGAGATTTTATGAAGTGTTATGTCATGTGATCTTCTAGATCACTTGCCTCCTTATTATGATCATTTTGATCATTTGCTCATCTTCTTTTTCAAGAATTTTATTTAAAACCAATTTGTCTATATGCTTTAAGCGTACCATAGGCTTTGTCCTTCTAGGACTTATTTTAATAGGAACATTTACAATGAGAATATAGTTACTTTCTTTGGGTCAACAAATGCGTCTGACATGCTTTGCAATATATTGCAGATGAATTATCTTTTTATGAATTTCAAGTTCATATTATCTTATTTGAGGATCTAGATGTACAAATGATAATTCATTCCACGTAATTTTTTGTCAACTATTTATCTTGTCTGCCCCTCATGTTAGAAAAACTAACTTGCTTCCTCAACTTTGAAAATCCACCTTTGTCCATTATGGTGTTAATCAAAATATACATCGCACACCAATAATAATAAGATAGAATTATTTGGTTCTTGATCTTGTACCACTTGTGAGGGGAGAATATCATATACTTTCGTATATAATGTATATCAAATTAATACAGATAACTTTGTTCTCATAAGCAATCGTTTAGCTATTAAGTGGAGACACTCAATAAATCATTTTGCTAAACCAACTGTAATGTAAACCAACTTATCAAGATGAACTGTCTTGAATAGAAAATCTGGAATATGCTCTGAATTAATTTATTGAGCAAGTTATCTCGTAAACACCAGGTTGCAGCTTAATAATAATCGCACATGTAACCATCTCATAGATGCATATTATATGGTATACATAGAAGGTGAATGTGCCCATATTCACCTTTGATATTTCCAGCATTCATGGGATTCAATCCCAAGTTTAGTTGGTCTATTAATTAATGAGAACAAGCAACATAAGAGAATTCGTAAAGAACTTTCTAGTTCTTAATATTTATCCATGTGAATTTTCTTCTTCTTCTTTTTGCACATCATACTTAAATTAACATGGCTAAACTAATTATGCTAACTAAATAAATTATCAATATTGATTAACTTCAGGTTTATACCATAACGTGTGCAATTATTAATAAACTCCAAGTTTATTATGATACGAGTTTTTATATCAATAAACTTCTACTTTATTGTGGCAATCTTTTATTTGTGTAGTACAAACTGGAGAATAAAGCGGGTAGCTTTTCACATACATATTATGCCGAGATATTAAATCTTTCCTTTATTTATAGTCTCAATATAACCAACCGCTTTCGCGATACTTTAGAAAGTCAATAAGTTTCTTTGAGACTTACTACGACACAAGAACCTTATTGATAATCAATTTTATTTCTCCAAAATAGTATAATTGGCTCTTCCAGAGCTTTCAATTAATTTTACACTACCACATATTCATCAACATCCATATGGTGAATATCTCTTTCACGGAGAAAGTTATATAATTATGGTTATGATCAAAGTAATTATAGGCAAGATATGTTGCTTTCATTACTTTTGCCCTGTAATAATCACATTGCCATAATATTTTGGCATAATCACAATAGGTACGTGATTAATGATCATTCATGCTAATATAATAAAATTATTTTCTTATTTCATCTCAAACCTCCTTCTAGGGGTAAGCGTGGTATATTCACCACCACTAGCGCGTTCATGTTCTTTCAAGAATGAATATGTATTCATAAATCACATGTTGTCACATTCACATAATGAATGGACTATAATCATCTATATGTGATTTATAAAATTTCATGTCAAATCGATGACAAACATTACTTTCACAAAATGAAGTATTATTTTGAGAATCATTATTGTTCTCATTACCACAATGATGCCGATTATAATTTCGTCTATTGCCACATGCACATCCATTGATACCTTCACGCTAATAATTTTGTCTTATTTCAGACTTATCACATACTGCTACCACATTCTTTTAAGGGAATGAGAATGAAGCAAATTCAATGGGACGAGTTTCCACTTCTTGTGCTCACAAGCATACTTGAATTTGATCATGGTAAGACATAGAAATTTTACCACTTCGGGTGGTTATAATTTCTTACAAACTCTAGTAGAGTTATAATTAAAATTTATTATCTTTGCTTGTATTTAAAATCAAATTATAGAATTTCTACAATTTAAAAGAGAAAATAAAATAAAATACTTACATTAAATCCAGAATTTATTCCTAAAGGAAATTGAGCAACATGCATGTATCCCAAAGCCAGTTGACTAAAGAAGATGCCTAGTATATGAATATCAATACATTCACGCAGGAGCCTCACGCAAATTCCTATATCTTCTCTCCACGGGTGGTTTAATTTCTCAAACATTAGATAACTAATTAATAGTATATCTACAAATTAAAACAACCGCCCTCTACTCAATTGGTTAGAATCTCGTGCTGATAACATGTTATAAAACAATAAGAGAAAGAAGTATTGCAGAGAAAAATAGAGACAAAATTTTTATTGATTTGGGATGAATTACAATGGAATAAAACCCTTATATTTATCGGCGAAAAATAACTTAGCTACAAAATAACAAACCCTAAAATCTCTCTAAAATATATACATTCACTTTAAATACAATTCTATTTATAACAAATTCATTTTAGTTACACCGACGTCATCCTAATGAGCTTTTCACAAACAACTATGCAAGTGTAAACTCATTCAAGAGCTCATAAAAATCATCACTCAACAATTTCTATTGATAATTAATTTATAGGTGTACTCCAAGGTTTCTCACTAATTTCAGTCACCTAAAGATTAGTTATGCTCAAGTTTTGCCTGTCTTTACCAGACGGTTAAACGAGTTTTCTCTTCTCCCCCCTCTTCTTCTTTTTTTTAATTGGTTTTTTTGCTTCTGTTCAAATTCCCCTTTCTATAGACAAAACATTAAATCATATAATCTTCTTGAGGGAAGTCAACCAACAAAATTTAATCAGGTCAATTCTTAATCTTAACTCAGTGGTTGCAACCAATCTCCCATAGATCATCGATCGAAGGATAAAGGAAGATGGTAGAACTCTTACTAAATCTTGATTAACAAAATTCCTTCTCAACTCTCATGATTCAACAAATCCAATCTATACCTAAAATTTGATTTCACTTTCCTTCTTTTTCCTTTCCTTTAATCTCTAAATAATAAGCTAGAGGCGCATATACTTTAGAACTGAATAGCAACTTTGTGAAGTTTTAAAGTGAAACCTGAAAAAGAGAAGACTTCAATTATAGAATCTTGTAATCCCTAGGTCACTCATTTAAGCTTAACATGTTTTCAAATGCTTGCACTTAGCTACTTATAAAAAAATCTTCCCTCCAGACTAGTTGTGAAGCAAGTTCAAAAATTCAACGCGCACGAATTAAGTTGTTTGATAAAGTGATTGTAAATGAGCCTGTGAAAAATCCGTCTTGTGAAACAGAATGTCCTGAAGCCGTTTTGTTTAGGCTCAAGCTCTAAGATATTTAAGAAAGAGTTGCATGGCAACAAGTCGCACAAACTACATTCATATTAAAATGACTTCCCAAATTTCAAAAGAAAATCAAACCTGTGCTGTAAAGTGTCCAAATGAAGAATATATTAGTCCGAGGAAACTCTTTGAACAGAAGTTGATAAATTACACTATAGCATTAACTGTAAACAAGACTAATTTACAATACACTATTACATGGAATAACTATAGATGAACAAAATCATAACTTGCTGTGAGATTTCCGAGTCCATGTGCCATTCCAGTTGCCACGCAGAGATCATCTTTGATATCCTACAAGACTGCTATGGGCTAACCGTAGCTCTGAGCAGAAACAGACTGAATTCTCCTTCCTTCTGCAACCATCCACATACAAACACAAGCAAGCATTTGACAAGCACATTTCATGCATATTCATGTCACACTCTCAGAAGTGGAGACCAGTTTGGCACAGGGTTCGAGTATCTCTTCCTTAGATTCAGGAGAATGCGATTTTGATTCTGAAGGTTGTAGCAATCACAGTTATCACCCCTTTCACGAAAAATAATGCTGACAATCATTTCTTGATGCATATATTTGACGACCTAAAGGAAATAAGATAACTGCTGCTTCTTTCTAGAACCTCCTTCTCCATAAAGGTCATTCCACTGCTTCAGCTCACTCATTACGGATCCCTCAGAAGCAAAGCTAGCAGCAACCTAACAAAAAAAAGTGATTCATGAAGATGTGTGTGTATGCCAAATTGAATACAACAACAGCACTGAAGGAAATAAGTCCTTTGCATGCATATTTGTTAGTATTGATTTCCAGGTTCTTTGATTCCACAAAAGAAAGACTACAAAGTGGCCATAATATCATCACTAATAATAAAGCAGAGCTGCAGCTAATTACAACTTCTGTGGAATAAACAGCAAACATGAAATTTCATTTTCAAAACCAAGGAGATACTGTAATGTCATGATAGTGCAAAGAACCACTTTTTATGATATTAGTCCATCCAAGAAATTGTGTACCAAAAACTACAATTTCCTATCCAAGATGGCCAAAGAGTAGCTTTGGGAGCAAATGCTAGGACAAAGAAAAAATTAATGAAAGAACTAAATGCTTCAGATGGTCCAATAAAAGGAGAACAGAAGTATCTTTATAATCTGGATTAGGATCTTTTTGGTTTTAGACATTAAGCCTCATGGACCCAATATAAGAAATGGATTACCTGATTCTTTGCCTGTTTCATGTCTTCCATGTTTAGAGGCCTCAAAGCAATTACTCTTTCTTCTGTGGCTTCTTCTTTCTCATCTGAGTGATCTTCTGTACTCTGCCCTTCGTCAGCTCTCTGCTTCTTTTTCTATGAGGAAGAAGAATCAATAAGAGAACACGAAGAATACACAATAAAGCAGATAGATAAAAAAGGTTACGTTGGCGAGAACAATAGGGAGCTAGAAGCTTGCAGTATTACCATATCTTTCTTTCTCTCTTGTTGTATTAGCTCTCTGACAGGCCGATAAGCTGCTGTTGTGCACAAGTTCTGTTGTTGGAAATTAATGCTTTCAGTTATTTCAAGATAATAATAATAGGCATATTCTTATATCATTTTGGAAATAGAACATTACCAACCTTAAGATCACTTCCACTATATCCTTCGGTCATGGCTGCGAGCTCTTTAAAATCAAGATCTTCTACCTTCTCCTTTGCTAGAAGAGTTTTCAAAATCTTCTCTCTATTCTCAGCTGCAGGTAAACCGACCATAATTCTGGCGAACACGAAAACCAAATTTGAGCATTTATTCATTTTGCTATATCATCATTAACTGAAAAAGGTCTTGAAGTTTATAAATGTTTCCTTAACGTCAGAGTATCAATAGGAACCATTGCACAGAGTAAAATATCTGCAAAACTAACTGCCTATTAAGCCTTCAGAAGATAAGGCAAGAGCTAACAAAATCATTACGATGAGCAACATACCTCTGATGACAGAAGACTTTTTGTCACCAGAAAATTAAGAATCGTGCAACTAGTCTAGCAGAAAATAATGTAAAACTAACAGAAACACATAACAAATGCATGAATAATATTTTTTTCGTTCTTCATATTTATGCTCAAAAGAGAAAGACTATAAGTAGATATTTCTATGAAGATTACTATAAGAAATAGATCTTCATCCTAGAGTGGAGAAGCTTAAGGGCATCAGCATTTAGTTCAAGCCACCAGAGAAGAAGATCTAACTTGCTTTCTGCCTCTCTTTTTTTCTTCCTCTTTTTACAAAGCTTCTTTGAGATGTAGAGGATTAGCAGTAAAGTGTCGAAATGCATAACATACTGGTGAAAATGAATTCACACGACTGGAGAACACAATTAAGCTAAGTAAATGATTGGTGTCGAGCTATAGAAGTACCTGCGCTCAAACCGCCTGATTATTGCTTCATCGAGGTCGAAAGGTCTGTTGGTTGCAGCAAGAACAAGAATACGCTCACCTGGTTTAGTCAATAAACCGTCCCAGTGAGTCATAAACTCATTCTTAATTTTTCGCATAGCCTCGTGCTCTCCAACTCTTGTCCGCTGCCCGAGCATGCTATCAACCTCATCCACAAAAATGATCGTAGGAGAAACCTTCGCTGCAAGTGTGAAAAGAGCTCTGACATTCTTTTCATCTTCCCCAAACCATTTTGAAGTAATGGTTGACATTGAGACATTTATAAAGCTCGCTCCAGCTTCGTTGGCTATTGCTTTGGCCAGCATCGTTTTCCCAGTGCCAGGTGGACCAAAGAGTAGTATACCTCTGCAAGGCTTCAGCAGTCCACCGTTGAAGAGGTCAGGTCTTCTAAGAGGAAGCATGACCAGCTCCTGAAGTGATTCTTTTGTTTCATCTAGAGCACCAATATCTGCAAATGTCACTCCAATTTCATTTGAAGGTATAACCTCTGGTCTTATCCGCTTCTCAAATTCATTGTCAGGAAGAACTTCCTGTAGATATCATATTACACGTTAAAGCAAATGGAAGAAACACCAAATGAAGATTGAATTAACAAACAAAAAATCAAGTTGGACCAAATAGTCAAAATATATACTAAGATGCAAATCAGAGAGTAAAAAATGTAAGCGCACAGTGTGACAAGACATTGTTGAAACCAGTAAATCAGCATTAATTTTTTCAGAGGAATATAAAGACATCCTATAAAAAGTGTCAACATGACATTTGAGAAGAAAAAGAAAGAATACAGCTCTCAAGACCAACCACTACCAACTGAAAGGTTTAGTAGAGAAGGTTGCTAAAACGATTCTATCAGGTGCTGCACTTACCGGGGCCTTAATCTCTCCATCCTTTTTTGCTGAAGGAACTGATTTTTCAGCCTCGCCCTTACTCTCAGATGTTGGGTTCTCAGACTTTGTTTCAGGCTTTAACCCAGTATCCTATTTTTGTTTGAAAAAAGAAAATAGAATTAATTTCGTCTGAGATAATTCCGCAAGGTTCAACAGAAACACCAAAATGCAAAAGAACCTTGGACGTTTCAGCATTTGCCTCCATTTTGAGGGAGTCTCTGCAACCACTCTTTCCGTCCTGGAAGACACTTAATCCATGGGACAAACTACACCAGACGAAGCATAGTACGTACATAAACATCAAGTAAGAAAAATAAATGAAGCTAAACTACTCAAACAAATTGGAAATCTGGCATCTACCTGTTGGATGATATGAGGAGCTTCCCATTTCGATATTCTGGATCCTTGCTGTTCATCAAATGATATGATATAGCAGAGATAACAATTTCCTCTATGTAATTACTCAGCACCACTGTGTCAGCTCGACAGATTGATCCTAGATCATCACATTCGAGGTCATTTGCTGCAAGCACCTCTGCAATGTGATTCTTGTTGTCCTGAAACTGAATCATCTTCATGTCCTCTTCCAGTTGTGTTTTCCAGTCTGTAAGATGTGTCTCATCTTCAGGGGGCCTGATTTCAATACTGTAAGGAAATAGAAGACCGAGTTTCTCATCTACTTCCTCACAATCATCTTCATGCTCAAACATCCTGGAGCCTAGAACCAACACCGATCCCGACAGCTTCTTCAGCATTCGATCAAAGAGTTTATAAACTCTGGGAGGTTGAAGATGTCTGTCAACATCCCTGATGTAGAGAATAACACGGCTGTTTTCAGAGACCGACACTAAAACCTGCAAGTAACCTCCTTTGTTAGTAAGATTTAAGATGAAACAATCATAACGTGAAAGATACTGAGAAGATCATATGGAATAACGACACAGATACAAGTTTGAAATTAAGAGAAAATTTAATACCTTGTAAAGTGACTGTAATAAAGCCTTTTCATCTATTGACCAGCTGTTCACCCGCTTGGTTGGAGCTAATGAAAATGAAGAAGCAAGAACTGATCAGAAGATAATCTTCAATCATATGATTATCCCTCATAGTTTACTCAAAATTCAACATTATGAAATTGATAGATGCAACTTATGCAAGAGATGAATCTAGAAATCCGTTGCAAGTACAGTACATCCGGTAAAGCTGGTTGATGGTTAGATGGGAAATTTGGCGAGATCCTTCAATAAAAAAACATAAAGATAGCAGAGCCATGGCAAGTAAATCAATTCCCTACAAGCATCCCACCTGGATTTGAAGAACAGGAGTCAGAGCTGATGCTACTTATATCAGAAGAAACAGAGGCTGTCCTGCGATGCTTTAGAGAGTTGCTTGCACCTTCCCTATTCCTGTATATCCCAAGGCTAAGGGTTAAAATGAAATATCAACTCCAAAGACCTGCATTAATATCTGAATGAGGAAGAAAACTAATATACCTTGATTTGGCATCAAACGCAGTGGTTTGCCTTGAAAAGGTACCTACAAAAAAAGAATAAAAACTGTATATGAAGAGCATCTGGAGATGTAAAACAACATGAAAGTATCAAGCCTGAGATTTTAAGTTCTAAAATTCTGATTAGGTCTAGATCGAAATCAGAACCATCAGCATACCAGCTGCTGAGCTCCACGTGAAAGATGGATGTTGAACTTGAGCAATTACTTGAACTTTACATTTCTTGTTTTCTGATCAATAGTTTTAACTTTACACTTAGCAGCCTCTGAAAAGTTCTCACGATAAATTAATTCCATCTTAGGACTTATGAAATTAGAATCAGGCTTGATTGCTTTTACTCTTCGGGTACAGGACAAAAACAACTTGCTGGTGTTAATGTGGAAATTGCATCACTTCCCACAAGATAAACGTACTGTTAAAGCTGGAGTATTATACGACAACTAATATTTTGTAACTTCATAAACATCTAGAACCTCCTTTAAATATAACCTACGCGTAAACGAAATCAGCAGATCTGGAGATCAAATAGTTTGTGATTCATATTCTTATATTTAAGTTCAGATATATTCATGAATTTACATAAACAGACACAAATACAATTAAGTGTACCAAATAGTGAAGAACTATGGCCTTTCTTCATATACCTCCATTATTCTCTCTTGCTGGAAGAATTGAGAATGAACCAATCAAACTGGACCAACGTCCCAACATAGACTCTGAGGTTGACCTCTTGAAAGCCTACAAATGTAAGATGCTGAATCAGGTAATATTCCACTAGGGGCGAAATGATTCCTTTTACTTATAGTGGAAGTGAATTTAGATTCAACAGTTAAGGAAATATGAATAATGGGCCTGAAGACAACAATATTTTGACCAAATAAGAATATAATTCTTCAAAGATAGTAAAAATTAGTACTTACCGATTCTTTCTTGAAGATTCCATACTTGCTCTGCATCTGCAACGATTGACCATGAAATAGAATGAATACAAGTATCAGCAGAAGATATGCTAAAGTACGGTAAAAAGAGGCCTTACACAATACCTTTAGAGTGAAGTCAGTTAGATCCAAAAGCAGCAGCTTAGCATCAAAATGATGCGCCAAAGCCTTCGCTAGAGTTTGCTGGTAAAGTTCTGCATTATAAGTATCTAGCATAGTTAAAGCGCTAAATGCAGATAACATATCAACTTGGAACAGACTTTAAATGCGAAAGCCATACCAGCAGGCCCTGAAAGCAGTATGGCCCTGCTTGCAGGAGAAAGATTTCTTGTATGTTTAGACACATCTAAGTGATTCAGATGAACGTATGCTGCACTTGTTAATAACACGCGCGTCCGTTCACTGTCAAAGCCATCACATTTGAAGGAGATTAATAAGTGTGAACGGAAACCGTCCTCAACATATAGTCGTAGAGATTACCAGAGATAAAATGGGAATACAACAAGTTGGAAGTGAACATATATTTTCAAAATTATCAACTTTTACCAAGATCCTAACTGGAGCCACCACAATGAAATTTAGCATAACTCTCCAACAACAGAACATTAGGTGAAGGAGTGAGAACTTTAGGTGCAAGTGTCAAGGGATAACCAGTACTTGAATTTTGTCAAACAAAAAGCTGTTACATTCTTCTGCTTATTTTGATTCCGCATTCAACAACTTTGCTGTATTGAGAAGAACTCCAGACATGCAACCCATAAAATTCACAGGTTGCAAGCATTAGTGGGTGGCTGGTTATTATTACTCCATGCTTTTCAATTTAAATGTCTTATGTTCCTTTTTAGTCTGTTTAAAAAAAGAATGCCACATTTCTATTTTGTAATTCCAATATACTCATTTTACCTTTAATAACACTTTCTTATGGGAGTGACGTGACATGTATAAGACAACAAAATTCAAAGAGTTTTTTTCGCATGTTACACGCATACCTTTAATTTAAAACCACAAGCTTCAAAAAATTTCTTTACATTCTTAAACTTTGTGTCGATCAAACTAAGACATATAAACCAGAGGAATTATTGTACTTTGATAAGTTAGGTTGTCTATTAATTAGATAACAACAGGTAAGAGTAAGAAATACACATAGATGATGCACCCAAGGTGTGGTTGGCAGTCAATTAAGTAAAATAAAAATAATAAGAGACCAGAATTCAAATTATAGGGAGGCAAAAAGCATTAGGTGATTAATTCTCCTTTGCTTAAGCTTTAGTGGAAGGAGTTACCCATTGCCTTTGCTATTGATATGTAACAGGTACATGGTATAATACTTCTCTTTTTTTTTGAAGAATGAAACTGTTTAAAATAAATACTTCTTCTGTCTCATTTTTATGTGACAATACTTTCCTTTTTAGTTATTCCAAAAAGAATGAACTTTTTTTAATTGGAAACGTTTGAGATTTAAACTTCCTATTTTACCCTTAATAAAACGATTTATTGGTATAAAATATTTATTAAGGATATTTAAGACCACAAATTTCAAAAGTGTTCGTTTATTTCTTAAACTTTGTGCCGAGTAAAACACAACCAAATAAATTGGGACGGAGGGAGTAAACTTTAGTTGCAATATCTAGCCACTAGCCACTGTCTTAGTATCAGCAATTCCAACTAGAAGCAGACCATAAACTAGTGTTTGAAAGTGCCAGATCATTTTGGGCTTAAGATTTACCACGACCAACAATTTTGAAATCACCAGTTTCACCTAATTCATAAAATTTGGAGATTCAAGTAGTAGTTGCAAGCCTGCAAGTGCATGTTATTACTAATGGACCTTTGAGCACCAGAGTAGTTTGCTTACTCAAGGGCCAATTTTGAAAAACCATACATCATCAGAGTAAATAAGTTACGAACAAAGTAAAATTATAAATAAAAAAATCGTTGATTTATCTAAAAAGCAGCTGTTTTTATTGAAGGACTAAAAACTGACGGGAACAGAGACCAAAAAAAAAAAAAAAAACAAACTTTCAATAAGAAAATTAAAAGAAAAATTACAGAGAACTCCCAACTTGAAGATTCCAAACCCGAAAATAAGCATCGATGGTGCGCGCAATGCATTGCAGGGGACAGGATGATTACATAACGTAGGCTTAACCCAATTAGATCATGAGATCCAGGGAATTTATATAAAATGATCATTTAAGAAAGACAATAGAAAAAGAAATTGAAATATAAGGGAATTATTTGTATAGCAGTGAGAGCTTTTTTACGTATATGCATTTGACAGATATTAAGCAAATTATCAAAAAAAACCTGAAGATAGAAAGAATGGCGGCTTTGTGAAAAAACTGTTACCTGAGAAAATAAGGGAAGTCAGCAAAGGAGACTTTGGTATGCTTGCCGTCAACGAAGAGGCGTCGAAGTTCCTGCTCGATTTGGTCGGCCGTTATCCCTTCCGCCGCCGAATTACCACCGGTCCATTTATTAACAGCCTGTCCTGACGCCAATCCAAGCCCTACTCCAACCCCTACACTCAATGCCGATAACAATACGTGCTTCTGTTCCATATTCAAGCCAAAGATAGATCTGTTTTTGTGATCCTCTGCTCTATGAATAAATAATACTTCCAAAATGTTGAAACAAGTTGAACGTATATTTCTTTTATATAAATGTCAATATCAAATAAGCAATAATGGGGAAAATGTGAAATAATAATGTACGGGAATGGAGAAAATGATGGAGAGAGAGAAAATTGGAAATGGGTCGTATATTGGAAAGGAAGGAGACGTTGGTGGATTCTGCCTTAATAATAATGACAGGTAATGAAAAACAATTAACAACTTGATCAATTGATCGATCCCACTGCGACTGCGCGCTCTTTTTCTCTCTCTTTAATTTGTTTCTTCTTACACGCTTGCCTTGCAGTCTTGTCTCAATTTATAGAGTTAGGAGAGATGAAATCGGAGCCCCATTTGAAAGCTTTTTTCACCTTTTGACTCAATGCTCCAACCTTTTTCTTTTCCTTTTTTTTAAAAAAATATTGTTTAAAAAGGATAGTTCGGTACACAAAATATTTCGCGTTAATACATGGTTCGGGGAATAACCGCAATCAAGAAGTGTGATGCAGAAAATCTATTCCAATGCAAGTATTAGTAGTTGTTTCTACAATTTGAATTTGTGACCTATAGATTATACGAAGATAAGTTTACCCTTGCTTCAAGAATCTTTTCTTTTTAAAAAAAAATTGTTTATTTCTTGTTTTTGGACTACTCTCTTACTTTTCTTAAGAACGTTATTGATCGTTGCTTTTCCAATGCCCTTTCCCTCCGTTTTTTGTCTAGCACATGCTCAAAATAACACATTTGCTTCTTCTTTTTTTCTTCAAAAACTTATTTTATTCGTTACCGAAATAGTGAGAAATATTTTGTCTTTTTCGTTTTTCATTTGGCACTTCCTTCGTCCAGTTATGATTTTCATTGTTTGACTCAGCATGACTATTCAGAGTTGAGTTGAAAATGTAAGTTGTTTGGGGTGTATTGGGTGTAAAATATAGTTATACGTTGACTTTTGTCTTATTAAAATAGAAAAAAAGTTTCTTTAATATACAATTATGTTGAAACACTTTCCTTCAGAAGAAAATGGACAGCATTTTGTTGCTGATTAAAAGGAGAAAAAATGAGCTATATTTTTTGTCGGACAGGGAGAGTACTATACAGAAGGTAGTACTTGTGATATAAATTTTCACTACTCAATATGCTTTTATATCGATTTTTATGTTTTAAAATTATTCTTAAAAAATTTCGTAATTAAGAGCTTCAATGAAATGACTTCTCTCTGTCTACTTTCAGCAATTCTTTTTCAGATTTTATTCGTGTCTAATGAAAGTAATCCTAGGGCTACCAAACTTAAGTAAACTCAAATTGAATAAGCTGAAGTATACATTTTTATCCAAATTAATTTCTTATTCCACGTACGGCCGCCTCTATCAATATTATGTTAGATTTTAATTTATCCTTCAAATTTAAATATTTGATTCTTTTCTTCTTTTTATTTTTGAGAAAATACATTTTACTGCCTCCTGAACCTTTTTTCGGATAATATTCCATTACGACGTTTCTTATTATGTTTCCTTCAATAGAGGTAGTAGACCTTTTCATGTATAAGTCAACCTACTCTTAAGATATTTGGGAGAGTTGAATGGTTTAAAGTAGTAATATACTAACAAAAAAATATTCACAAATGATAAATAATCTAAGTTGGTTACTTCAATAGACAAAAATTGTTAGCTAAACATAAAGTAGATGAACAATTGTGATTCCCACCAATATATTGTTTCCAAAATGATGGAACAAAAAATTTCGATTTGATAATTAAGAATTAGTAAGACGTGGTAACATGAACGAGGTACAAACTTTCTCCATAAATCACGTTTTTAGAAACTTCTACCATACAAATTATAATCATTCTAAATTTAGCATTGAGAATTAGAAACGTCAATTTAGAAACTAGTTTTCGTTTACTTATTGGTTAATAGCACCGTAAGCCAATGACTAAATTCATTTAATTAATTATTATTATTAAGCCGCCATTACTTTACGTGGACGGTTGCAAAAGCTGATTGGCACATGCATTGCTTCTCATAACTTTATTCCTTTTCTTTTGGACCTTTCCACATAGGAGACGACTTGCAATTGCATTCACTGCTACAACCGTGTAACTTGTAGTAATAAATTAAAATTGTTTATGTATAATCGGCTTTTGGGAAGGGTATCAACATTTTCCTTTCATAAATTTCCACCATAAAATGTTTTCTACTCTATATATTTCTCTATTAGCTGAATATACCATTAGAAATTGTTGAGTTGTAATATAATTGTGTCGCTTTTAGCTCATTTTAGTGATTGTACTACCCTCTAATATTTATAATTAAGACCAATGATTAATTATATGCGCATTAATAAGTTCGCGGTCCTAACATTTCCGCTCATAATATATAGTACTGCAATTTGAGAGTCCAATTATTGAAAAATATTGACCTTTTACTTCATTATATACGTTTGCTTAGCAAACAAGTAAAAAGAGAAAGAAACATTCATGTCTGAACTCCATCATTTTTTATTACATGGACAAAGTCATTTTCCTGGCATTTTCTCAAAGTAAAGCAATTAAGATCACTTACATGTGAGAAAAGAGATACAAGTAAATATTCGCATACTAGATTTGTGTTGTCCACGTTGGTTGATTGCAGAAACGGAGCTGGAATTTTGAATGTACGAAATTTTATTCTAAAAAGTTATTTTATTGAGTTTTAGATAAACTATTTACACATATTAAGTAGATTCCTTTAGCATAAATATAGGATATGGATTGAAGCTATTGGGTTTTGCTGAACAATAAGCACCACTTTAATTCCGCCCCTGGTTGAGGGAATAAATTGACGTCTTCGTATACAGTTATGAACAATATGCTCATTTCAAAAGCTAGCTTTTGCACTACTAGAAAACTACGAAAAACCGCCCAAGAATACCGACCGAAATCGGTCGGAAAGCTGGAAAAATTGACTAATTTTCGATCGACTTTAATCCGTCGAAATAAGTCTGATCGATAATATATAGCGACCGAAGTCGGTCGCAATTTCCGATCGATTTCGATCGGTCAATTAAATTTCACAAACGACCAAAAAATGAAAACATCTGCCGAAAAAATCGACCGAAGTCAGCCGGTATTTAATTATGTAATTAAAAAATGCACCATCTAAAAATCGAATCGGGGTCTGTAATGTGGCACGATACTATTCTACCATTAGACCATTAGTATATTTTGGTTTAAGACTTTCTTTTATTTTATTTGTACTCTTTAATTGCATTTTTGCGCGAAAATAACCGACCGATTTCTATTAAAAATATAAAATTACTGACCGAAATCGGTTGAATTTTTAAAATGACCGACCGAAATAACCGACCGATTTCGGTCGGTTTTTTAAATAATAATTTTAATTTATTTTACATGAAAAAACGACCAAAGTTGGTCGGTTTCTTAAAAAATAAATTTCGCGGAACGCCAAAATAGTTTCCCGCATTTTTGTACCCAATAAACCGACCGAAGTTGGTCGGTTTCGTTAAAAAAAATTGATAAATAAAATATTTTGAAAAAACGATCAATTTCGACCGATTTTTCGGCCGATTTTTTTAGCGACCGAAGTCGATTGGTCGTCTACGGTCGATTTTGGCCGAATTTTTTAATAGTTTTAGGGGTTAAGTTAAGCCTACTTAGGTCTATTCTATTAGCATGAAACTCAAGTAAATGTTGTTCTAAGATACATTTATAGAGTATTATGCTTAGCAAGATAGCTTAGTGACATCTTGGAATAGAGGAAACCGACGCAAAGAAAATGACAAAGGTGGGCGACAAAATAATAAAAATGGTTGGTGTTTGCCACTTGACAACATAAAACATGTCCAATAGCCAATAAGAACAGGAATATAACTATGGCTGTAGAATATTTAATTGGCAGCTGCTAGCTCCAAGTAAATGGTGGCTAACTGTTAACTGTGACAGTTCGATTGTGAGCTGGTGCTGAGATCTGATGTTTGAACCAATATGTATGAGTTGTAACTTTTTTTTCTACGAGATATTTTAACTTTAGTTACCTCGCGTGACAGCTGCCTCATTCAAGCATTTAATATAATTTCTTTTCGTTTAAATAGATCGAGATGTCCACCTAGACTGTTAGATGTAAATATGCAAAAAAGTATTTTTTACTTAGCAATTTTCTCTTTTTTTTTTGTTAAAAATCATTTCCCCCCTCTAATTTAATGCTTTGTTTGGATCATTGTTACCCATCGTTTTATAATGTATCGTATTGTCCTGTATTATATTGTATCGTATCGTTTTATGAATACAATATTTGGATAAACTGTATTGTTTATTGTTGTTAAATACTCCCCCTGTTCCAATTTATGTGAACATGTTTGACTGGGCACGGAGTTTAAGAAAAAATGAAGACTTTTGAAATTTGTGGTCCTAAACAAGTCAAAAAGGGCCCCAGAGTATTTGTGTGGTTATAAAAGCTTCTCATTAAGGGTAGAATTGTAAGTTTAAGCAAAATTGTTTCCAAATTTAGAAAGGGGCCATTCTTTTTAGAACGGACCAAAAAGAAAATATGTTCACATAAACTGAAACGGAGGGAGTAACATTTTGATGTTTGGTTTGACTGTATCGTATTGTACAGTAACTGATAAGTTTACTAAAATATCCTCAATTATTTTAAATATTTAATTTATCAAGAATTACACATAAAAATTATTTAAGAAAACTACTTTCTACTAATTTATCACCAATTATGTCTTATATATAAGTTAAGCAATTAAATTCATGCAAATCCTATCAAAATTAGTGGAACAAGTTAATAATATTAAAAATAATAATAAGTACACTATGTTCATAATTAGATCATAATAATAATAAAATAAAATAAAATATTAAGTAGACTCCATTTAGAATTTAGATCATAATTAATATTTCTTAACAACCAATATCATAAATCTAATTGGAGATAAAGTAATTAGAATTGGAATAACAAATCAAAGTAGAAGAAAGAATAAAACAAAAGTTAGGGAAAACCTATATCTGAAGAGTTTGGAAGCGGCAGAAGCAACGAGATTTTTACGTTATTAGACTTCACGTATATAGCTTATATTTGAGATGCTGTCTTTGAGAATTTATATAAGTTATTAGACTTCAAGTAGAATTCTATTATAAAATTATATGAGAAAGAGACTTTGCTATTATTTAAAATAAAAAAAAGGTAAAGGGTAAAATAGAATTATAAAGTAATAAGTTAGGGCATAATTAGAAAGAAAAATAGGAAACGATCCCACCACACCAAATCGGTTGTTTCAAAAAAT